TTTTTTTTTTTGGAGAGATTTTCACTATAGGGCGCGTGCGCTCGCCAGACAGACAGAGAGAGACATAGAGACAGAAAGCGAGAAATCACCCCCCAGGGGGGATGGTCACGCCGCAATCCCTTTTCCTCCATTCTCCTCTCGGGATCTTGGGCATGTACACACATGCGCCCGCATGTGTGCCCAAAATCCTGAGAGGAGAGTGGAGAAGGGATTGTGTTGTAGCCATTCCCTGTAGTGGGGTGATTTCTCACCTTCCCTCTCTCTCTCCAGTGACCACACATGCCCTGTGGCAAATACCTAAAATGAAGCAAAACAAAACATGGCCAGCTGATGATGTGGTGGTTAACGTGACTGGTCTCACATGGCTGACCACGCAGTTTGAGTCTAGGATCTGAGGCTTGAAAAGCACCTGATGTGACCAAACAATTAATTAATTAAAAATAAAATAAGTTAGGACCAGAAGATGGCATAATGATTACATTGCTAGAATCCCAAATGGCCAACTGTGTTTCGAGTCCTGGACCTCGAGGTTTGAAACTCATGCTGGGCCTGTGTGCATGTGTGCCCCAAATCCTGACAGGAGAATGGAGAAGGGGTTGTGATGTGGCTATCCCCATGCGGAGTGATTTCTTGCTTTCTGTTTCTGTTTCTCTGTCTCTGTCTCTGGTGAATGCATGTGCCCTATAGCAAAAAATCTCTCTCTAAAAAAATAAAAAACCTGGGGCCAGCAGGTGGCGTGGTGGTTAAGGGCGCTGGACTCTCATATGGCCAACAGCGGTTTGAGTCCCAGATCTGGCGGCTCGCTTTCTCACTTTCTCTCTCACTCTGTCACTCTCTAGTCAAATTAAAATAAATATATAAATAAACAAGAATAAATAAAGCTAGATAAAATAATTCTTAAAAAAACTAAGCTTTTCTTTCTTTTTTTCTTTCTTTCTTTTTCTCTTTCTTATTTCTTTCTTTTATAAGGAGAGATTTTTGCTATAGGGCATGTGTGCTCCCTAGAGAGACAGAGAAAGAGAGACAGAAAGCGAGATATCACCCCACAAAGGTGATGGCCACACTGTAATCCCTTCTCCTCCATTCTACTCTTGGGATTTGGGGCATGCATGTACACATGCTTGGCATAAATTTTAAGCCTCCGGGTCCAGGACTCAAACTGCAGTTGACTACCTAGAAGTCCAACAATGTAAGCATTATGCCATCTGCTGATCCCCTAAGCTTTTCTTTTATTATTGGAAAATTAGGTTGTTTCCAATTTCCTATTAATCATAAATAATGCTCCTGTAAAAATCTGTATAGTTTTCCTCTTATGAATTATTTCTTATAAATTCTCAGAAGGAGTTATTATGTCAGAAGAGCATGATTTAAGCTTCTTGGTGTGCATTGTCAAATTTGCCTTACAAAAAGAAAAGACTCAGGGCCAGCAGGTGACATGGAGTTTAAGGTGCTGGATCCCCCATGGCCAACTCTGCAGTTCGAGTACTGTACTCAGTGGCTTGAAAATCATGCCGGGAATGTATGTGTGAGTGCCCAAAATCCTGAGAGGAGAATGGAAAAGAGAATGCAGCATGGCCATCCCTGCAGGGAATGATTTTTTTTCACTTTATCTCTCTGTCTGTATGTCTCTATCTCTCCGGTGAGTGCAGGCACACTATGACAAAAATCTAAAAGAAAAAAGAAAGAAAGAAAGAGAAAGAAAAAGAAAGAAAGAAAGAAAGAGAGAGAGAAAGAGGAAAGAAGGAAGGAAGGAAGGAAGGAAGAAAGAAAGAAGGAAAGAAAGGAGTCATTAGGGCTGCCATATGCAAGAAATATTTATTTTTGAAAGATTTATTTATTCATTTAACTTTTTATTGTGATTTCTGGCTTACATATAATTGATGTACTTCTTTGTGGGGATACATTATGATTTTTCAAACCATGTACACTGTGTCATAATCAAATTAGAGAAATTTTATATACATTTTCAGTGGAAGGACTTCAACCACAGCTAGTTTCATTTTCAGATGCTTCTTTGCAATCAGCTACTCAGTATTCTCTTTATCTAACATCATGGCAAACCACCCCTTGCCGAGACTATTTGGGGTTTGTATTCCTCTGAAATGCTTTCACAGAGGCACCATGGATTTACGGCAGGAGTGTCTGTAGCCAATGTTGCTCAGTTACGACTTTTATTATGCAAAAAAACCTAACAAAACCTTAGTATTTTAGCTGTATTAGCTGCATTTTATGCTGAGCTTTTTTTCTGGAAAATGAATGAAACACTGAAACTCTGGTCCTAGATGTACACACAGGAGCTCTGAGAAGTTCATGGAAAATGCAAAATTTGGAAAAAAAAACTATGCATGAATTTCCTCTTTTATATCCAAATAAAATTGTACATCAATTCATTTTCCACAAGCGCTTTGAAGCTCCTACAGGTGTCAACTGCACAGCAGTTGAAATCCTAAACTTATTGATAACAATGAATTTGCAGAAATATCAAATCTTTCCCAAAGTGGTAATAGGTAATAGGT